GCGCCTCCGCATCATTGTTGGGGCAGCGGACAAGACCATCAATCAATTAGTCCAACCAATGGGAGTGAACGAGGGGCGGGCCAAAGGAGCAGGTGAGGCCGGTCCTTTGAACAATGAGAAGGGAATGAGGGATAACAAGATGTAGAGCTGGATGAACACAGCTGGCCAAGCAGCATCAGAGGAGCAGGAAGGCTGACGTTTCGGGCAAAAACTCTTCTGCTTGGCCTACTGTGTTCATCCAGCTCTACACCTTGTTATCTCAGATTCTCCAGCATCTGCAGTTCCTACGATGTCTGAAGGGAATGAGGGGCGGGGTTGGAGGACCGAGCTGGAGGGGCTGGTCCTCTAACCATGGGAGTGAACGACGCACGTTTTTGGGACAATTCAGCAGCTTTCATGACAATTTTCTCCTCATACCAGCCCCACAAATTTTCCAGTTTCATTCAGCTTCTGTGTGTTCTCCCACACAGGTCTGTTTTTTAAAAAAAAATCAGATTAACGTATTGCACAGGATATTAGAAGGATTTACGGGCGGCACGATGTTTCAGTGGTTTGCACGGCTTCGTCACGATGCCCAAGAGAAGGTTAGATTCCGCCCTTGAGCGACTCTCTGCGTGGAGTTTGTACATTCACCCTGCGTCTGCAGGTTAGGTGGATTGCTCTTACTAAATCCACAAAGTCCGAGTCTGTGTAAATTAGGTGGATTAACCACCGGAAATGTAACGTTACGGGAAATAGAGTTGGGGGGGCGGTGGTGAGTGTGGGTAGGATGCTGCTCAGCGGGTTTTTGCAGACTTGATGGGCCGAATAGCGTCCTTATGCATCGTAGGGATTCTATGATTGGATCTGCTCTTGGGGAACTCAACCCAAATAGCACCTCAAAATCTGACAGACAATCAGCCAATTTCTAACGCCCTGAATGTTCCTGAATTTTGAACATGCAAGAAAAATTCATTGCGCCTATTGAGGAGAAGCTGTAATGTATACTATGTGTGGACAAGGATTCAGCCGATCACCAGGCCTACCAGAACATGAATACACTGACGAAAGTGGGAAACCATGGAAACATGAGGAATCTGAACTTGGAATTCACCGAAACAGTCACACAGAGGGACTTCACCTGTTCTGACTGCAGGAAGAGAGACACACAGTTAACCTATCCCTTGACACACCAACGTGTTTACACTGGGGAGAGATCATTCAGGTATTCTTACTGTAGGACTAAGTGCAAACACTCATCTCAACTCACTGGACGCAAGTGTCATCATGCTGGGAGAGAGCTGCCCCTGACATCAATGCAACATTAGATGAAATGTCACATCCAGGAGCAAAATTGGAATCAATGTGAAAAGATTCCACTGGTTGGAGCCATTCTTAGCAAAAAGAGTGATGGTTATGGAGTCCAATCATCTCAGCCCTAGGACATGATTGCAGGAATTCCTCTGGGTGGTGTGTAAGGCCCAAACATCTTCAGCTACTTTTTCAATGACCATGCTGATATCAGAAGGTCAGAAATGGGATTATTTCCTGATGATTGCACAATGTCCAACACTATTCACTTCTCCTCAGTCACTAAAATGGCCTATATTCATATGGAACAAGACTATGACAAGATCCAATTTTGGACTGATGAGAAGCAATTGGCAGGGAATGATCATATACAACAGGAGAGAATCTAAAATTCTTGCATTGACATTCAAGGGCATTTTCATCATTGATTCCCCCCCACTATCAACATCTTGTCATTTTCATCAGCCAGATCCTGAACTGGGCCAGCTGTATAAACTCTGTGACTTTTAGAGGTCAGAGGCTAGAAAATATGCAGTAACTCCTCAAAGCCTGCCAGGTACAAGTCCGAAATGTGATGGAATAATCCCCACTTGCCTGGATTAGGACAGCTCCAAATATGCAAAGATATTCAACTCCATCCAGGACAAAGTAGGCTGTACTGTAATCTGAGTACACAAATCATGATATTCAATAAGGGAATTAGATTGTTAGCTGTAAAGGAACAATGTACAAGTTTAGAGACAAAGAAGGCAGGAGGATGGCACTAGGTGAGATACTCATTCTGAAAGCCGGTGCAGACACAATGGTCAAACGGCTTCCTTGTGCGCTGCATCAATTCCATGATTCTAACTGCAATGGTGACCTTCAACATTCTCTTCCTTCACCACGGGCGGACAACAGCAACAGTTTGTACCAACATCAACATGCACTGAAGCAAATTCCCCAAGTTCGTTCAACATCACTTCCCTAAACCACAATCTCTATCACCAAGAAGCAGGTACGTGGGGACAGCACCCTTTGAGTTCTCCATCAAGTTGCACACTATCCTGACTGGAACTATATCATCATTCCGTCAGTATCACGAGGTGAAAATCCTGAACCTGCTTCACAGCAATGTATGTTTGTCTATACCTCAAGGATGACAGCAGTTCAAGAAGGCACCTCACTGTCACCTTGTCGAGGGCATTAGGGATGGGCAATAAATGCTGGACTGGGCAGCAAAGGATGTCAAGAATAAATAAATAAAACAAAATTGGTGTTCTTTCTAAAGCTTACATTCCTTCCTAAATTGGGGCAGTTTGTTTTACAAACTCACATAACAGGTGATCATGGGAAAATCATGAATGAATTGTCACCGTTTCAGATGAGACTCCTTCAGAATGATCACTTCCCATCACTGCCAGAACTTCCCCACCTTGTGCACTGTCATTGCTTCGACCAATCATTGCAAGTTTACTTCATCCATTGCACATCCATCTAATGGCTTCCAGCCTGGATTGACGTTCAGCATTTTCTGATGTATGGGGTGAGGGGTGGTCATATACATTGTGCCCAGTCACATTTCATCTGAACAAAGCTCATCTTACTTAAACACGTGCTGTCCTGCAAATTCATCATTGTGTTGTTTTCACTAATGTCCCTCTGTTCATTGGCATAGAAGCTTCAAAATTTACCTTTAGGTTTTAGCTACAGGAAGTCTCCACAAAACCAACAAAATGCCAAGATGTCTGTAACTTCGCATCTTTCCTATTCTGCTTTCTATTTTTTGAATTATCTTTTTACACTCTACTTCAAAGGCAAGATTCTAATCACATTTAATACTGGCTCCTAATCATAAAAAAATCAAAGATGAACTGCCGAAATTCACCAAAGATCCTCAGACAACACCTTCCAAACGCACAATCATTTCCATCGAGAAGGATAGGAGCAGCAGCTGCATTGGAACACTACCTCCTGCAAGTAATCTCCAAGCCACTCACCATTCTGACTTGGAAATATATCACTGCTCCTTCACTGTTGCTTGGTCAAAATTCTGGAAGTCTCTCTCTAACAGCATTGTGGGTCAGCCGGTAGCACATAGAAATTTAGAAGATAGGAACAGGAGGAGGCCATTCGGCCCTTTGAGTCTGCTCCACCATTATGATCATGGCTGATCGCCGAACTCAATAGCCAAATCCTGCTTTCTCCCCATAACCTTTGATATCATTCGCCCCAAGTACTATATCTAGTCACCTCTTGAATACATTCAATGTTTTTGCATCAACTTCCAGTCGTAATGAATTCCACAGGCTCATCACTCTTCGGGTGAAGAAATGTGTCCTCATCTGCATCCTAAATGGTCTACTCTGAATCCTTGGACTGTTGTCCCTGGTTCTGGTCACACCAACCTTCGAAACACCCTCGCTGCATCTACCCTGTCTAGTCCTGTTAGAATTTTTAATCATCTCAGTGAGATCCCCCTCATTGTCTGAACTCCACCGAAAACAATCCCAGCCTCGTCAATCTCTCCTCATACATCAGTCCTGCCATCCTCGGAATCAGCCTGAAAAACCTTCACTGCACTCCCTCGACAGCAAGAGCATCCTTCCTCAGAAAGGGTGACCAAAACTGTACGCAATATTCTAGGTGTGGCCTCACCAAGGCCCTGTATAACTGCAGTAATACATCCGTGCTCCCGTTTTTGAAACCTCTTGCAGTGATGGCCAACATACCGTTTGCCTTCTTTACCGCCTGTTGCACCTGCATGCTTACCTTCAGTAACTGGACACCCAGGTCCCGCTGCACACTCCCCTTTCCCAGTTTACAGCCATTCAGGTAGTAATCTCTGTCAGTGGATATGTAAAAACCAACACAGTGGCTTTGGATGATGTCACCAAGATGCAAATAGCAGCAGCCAGGGTTACATTCTTTGGGGGGGGAAAAAGTTCCAGATATTTGGGGAAAAAAAGGAATTTGTAGGGGAGGTCAAGGTTGGTTTTCAAAAGAAGGATTTAGAGATGAGAGTGACTATAACAGACAAAAGCGAGAACTGTTAACAATATCAGCAAACCAGCTTCTCCCCAAGGCTTCCAGCTTGGTCCACTACACCCAGCGGCAGACCCTGTTCTCCTGAGCAATCTCGAGCACCATGTGCCTGCTGCAGCCCAGGGAGCTGGCCAAAATCAGTCTTTGAGGACACCAAGTTGGTCACCACGTACACCAGCTCCGAGTAGGACCATCTCTTTTAAGAGCGACTGACAAAAGAAAAGGTGAAGACTGGATGCTCAGTAATTAACTGGAAAGAGAGTCGAGGGACGGGGTGGTGGGTCTCATCGATGTGAAGAGCTCTGGAGCCAGGAGAGGGCTTAGACAAGGTGGAACTTCAAAGAAGATTTCAGGGAAAGGAGGGACATGGAAGAGACAGATAATCAGACTGTCTCAATCTGAATGACAAAGAAGCTCCACGAGCTTCTCACAAGATGGAGGTGATAGGAAGGACAAACACTTCTAAAGAAAGTGCTAAAGCCTTTAAGAAGCTTCAGCAGGCCATGTGTTTCCCACAAACGTGACATAATTGTCTTTTTGACCCTTCATTAACACCTATAACTAGGCTGGAATTTATAAAGATCAGCAGAAAAAGACCCCATTGAACATTGTTGTGTCCTGGATGCGATTAACAACAAAACGCAACTCTTGCAGTCAAAAATAGCTCACTATAAAGAGTACTAACATACATGAGACATTTTAAAAAGTGGATTTATTTCATTGTCATCCAGACGTTCTGGCAGAGAGGGAGGAACACGAGGAAGTGGGGATTTATTCACAGCGAAAACCAGTCACTGTCAATGCTCATGAACTCGCTGGTGTTTTAGCAGGCTGGATTTCACAGTGAATCCCTTCCCACAGTCAGTGCAGGTGTACGGCCTCTCTCCTGTGTGAGATCGCTGGTGGGCAGTGAGTTGGGTTGACCACTTGAACCCAGCCCCACAGTGAGAGCACTTGAACGGTTTCTCATCACTATGAACACGTTGATGTGACATCAGGTCCCCAGACCTTTTAAAACACTTCTCACATTCTGGGCATTGAAAAGGTCTCTCTTCTGTGTGAAGTTGCTGGTGTTTAAGCAGGTTGGATTTCTGAGCAAATTCCTTCCCACACTCAGTGCAGGTATACGGCCTCTCCCCAGTGTACGTTCGTCGGTGTACAGTGAGTTGGAATGACCGCCTGAACCCAGTCCCACAGTGGGAGCACCTGAACGGTCTCTCGTCAGTGTGAATACGTTGATGCAACATCACGTCCCCAGATCTTTTGTAGCATGTCCCACAGTCTGGGCACTTATAAGGTCTGTCCTTTGTGTGAACTTGCTGGTGTTTCAGTAGGGTGGATTTCCGAGCAAATGTCTTCCCACATTCTGAGCAGGTGAATGGTCTCTCCCCAGCGTGAATCCGCTGGTGTTCAGTGAGGTAGATGATTGCTTGAATCCAGACCCACAATGAGAGCAACTGAAGGGTCTTTCACCAGTGTGAACACGTTGATGCAGCTTCAGGGCACCAGAGCTTCCCACAGTCTGAGCATTTAAACAGTCTGCTATCTGTGTGAACTTGCTGGGGTTTCAGCAGGGTGGATGTTTGCGTGAATCCTTTCCCACAGTCAGAACAGACGAATGGCCTCTCCCCAGTGTGACTGTATTCATGCTGCAACAGGGTAGATGATCTGCTGAAGCCTTGTCCACACATACAACACGTGTATAGTTTCTCCCCGCTGCGAACGGTGTTTTTTCCTTCCATTTTCAAAATCAAATGATATTCGCGTTACGATAAACTGGGTGACTCCATCAGATCCTGAAGTGATGTTTGATTTCAAGTCCCCCCACTGCAAATCTTCCTCTTCGAATACCCTGTGAAATTCGTTAAAAATAGAAAAAAACAGGAGTGAGACGGAAAAAAATCAAAAAAAGTAAGATCAGAAGATGTGGAGCAGAAGTAGGTAATTCAATCCAGCAAGTATGTTCTTGCCATTCAATGATATCAGGATTGATCTGATAATCCTCAACTCCACTTTCCTGTCTTACCCCCTAACCTTTGTTTCATTTAGTGATTAAAAATCTCTTTATCTCAGCCTTGAATACACTGAGCAGCCCAGCCTCTGCAGGAAGGAATTCCACAAATTCAGTAACTTGTACCCATCCCCCAGAGAGAAGAAATTCCTCATCTCAGTCTGACATATTGTGACTCTTGACAGTGAGATTATGTCCTCTGCTCCTACACTCTCAAACAAGGAGGAACAGTCTCTTTGAATCTATCCTGTCAAAGCCCCTAAGAATCTTATATCTTTCAATGAGGTTTCCTTTCAACCACTGAGAAAATCCCCCCATGTCTGGGATCCATCCCCTGGACATTCTATGGACTGCCTTTCTGGGTGATTAAAACTATTCATAGTATCCCAGATGTCCTGTACTATTTTAGCATATTCTCTACTTTTACACCCCATTCCCTTTAAAATAAAGGCCAACAGACTTTCTGATTACCTGCTGAACGTGGGTGCTAGCTTTTCATCTTTCAAGCATGAGGGACCCACAATTCTCTCTCTGCTGCAGCTTTCTGCACTGTTTTTTCTTCAGTTATTTAATCTTCACTTCTCTTAGTCTTCCTGCAAAAATACATAAACCTCAATTTTTCCCACATTACATTCCATCCACTGAATTTTTGTTGACTTGCATAATCTGTCTCTATCCCTCTATAGTCTCTACTTGCCTCCATGCATCATGTGTCATTAGCAAAACCTCCCAAACTAGCCAGTTCCACCACTGTGAAGGACCAGGGGAGCAGGCGTATGTGTCTATCATCACCTTGAAGCACCCTCCAATTCAATCCAGAAGTAGGGGGCATAGTTTGAGAATTTTTTTTTGTTTATTCATTCACGGGATGAGGGCGTCGCTGGCTAGGCAGCATTTATTGCCCATCCCTAATTGACTAGAGGGCAGTTAAGAGTCAAACATATTGCTGTGGGTCTGGAGTTACACGTAGGCGTGACCAGATAAGGATAGCAGTTTCCTTCCCTAAAGGACATTAGTGAACCAGATGGGTTTTTCCGACAATCAACTGTTAATTCCAGATATTTATTGAATTCAAATTCCATCATCTGCCATGGTGGGATTTGAACCCATGTCCCCAGGACATTATCTGGGTCTCTGGATTAACAGTCCAGCGATTGTACCACTAGGCCATCACCTCTCCTTGCAATTAGGGCAAGACTGTTCAAGAGAGATATTAGGAATCACTTCGACACTCAAAATGTCGCAGAGGTTTGGAACTTGCTTCCAAAAATGGCAGTTGATGTTCAATCTCTCAGTTGTTAGTTTTAAATCTGACATAGATAGACTTATGATCAGCACGGGTGTTCAGGGATATGGTCCACAGACAGGTTTATGGAGTTAGGCCACAGATCAGCCATGATTTCATCCATTGGCAGAACAGGCTCAGGGAGCTGAATGGCTTACTCTTGGTTCTTTGTTCACTGATAGCTACTGGCTACAGTCCCTGTTGCAAACTTCCTAACTCCAACTGCATTGCTTGCTCTGATAACTGTCTGAACCAGGTTCTTTGCAATGTTGGTGAAGTATCGGACTCGGAGATAAGCTTTCAACCACAGAGCTACATCCTCACCATGACGTTCTATCTCCTTTTCAGTGACATGGCCCAATTCCAGCACAGTCACTGCTCCATCTGCTGAAAGTCTCACCCAGTCCTTTGTAACCTCGAGACTAAGTGACACGAACACACTCCTGATCCACCTCGCACTTTCAATCTCCCTGTAATCTTGAGCTCATCCAACACTCTAACTGCCCATGTGCTCACTCACCCTGAGCCTTGTTCTCCTCACCCTGAGCTCACTAACTTAAAATGTCTACCTGTTGAGAAAAAAAAAAAATTCCTATCCTTGCTTTGAAATTCCTCCATGATAGTGATCATTGCCGTCTCTGCCAGCCACACAATCCTTCATGATATCTGCACTTGCCCAATTCCGGCACCTTGAGTATGCTCAATTAATCTCCCACCAATGGCAGATGTTCTTTTCATGCAAAATATTGAAAATCAAACTAAGAATTAATTAACTTAATGCCAGGGCCCCACTGTGGTTCATAGTTACCACATCCACTGTAAGCATTGATTGCTTGAGGAACTCTGGCTTAGAGTCGATAAGCTGGATTCTTAGCTCCAAACACTGCCACATATCAGGGAGTGGCAACATCATTTACCTGGGCCCTGTCTTTCAGGAGGCAATCACACCCCTAAGATTAACTACCTCAAATTCAGTCAATGATCAGGGATAAGAGGGTATGACTACAAGTGAGACAAGGGGGAGGCAGGAGATGTTGAAGAAGTCTTAGCCCTGGACTTTGTGCTCCCTGTGTGGATAAGAGTGTGAGCTGTAGGGAGGATGAGCAAACTGCCCACAGTGCCATGGTACATGGGGCCATTCAAGAGGGTGGGGAGGAATGCAGAAAAAAGAAAGAGGAATGTAGTTGTAACCGGGGTGGGGGGTCGGGGTGGGGGTAGTGTAGTCAGAGGAATAGACATTATTCTAGGCCAGGATCAAGAGTTCCAAAAACGGTGCTGCCTAACTAGTGCCCATGTTCAAGATACCTCAGTAGCAGCAGAGGAACTTGGGATGGGAGGGGGAAAAATGTCAGTTGGTGTGGTCCATGTAGGTACAGACGAGGTGGGCAGAAAGAGGAAAGTGTGCGAGCAGCCTGGAAGTAAATTAAAAAAGCAGACCAAGAAAGGAAATAATCTCTGGATTACTACCTGAGCTAGAAGCAAATTAACAAAGTCAGCAAGATTAGAGAGGTAAATGCATGGCTCAAACATTGGTGTGGGAGAAACAGGTTCCAATTCACTGGACATTGGTGGCAGTACTGGGTAAGGACAGAACTATTCCGATGGGACAAGTTACACCTGAATCATGCTGGGACCAGAGTCCTGGCAAATCGCATAACTAGGATCTGTGGATACGGCTTTAAACTAATTGTAGGGGGGTGGGGGCATTCAGTTGCATGGAAAAAGACAAAGGGGCGGGGGGTGAACAAACCATAGGACAGAAACTGTGGAAAGGATCAGGAATCTAACTTCAGGCACAGCAAGTAAGGGGACACCTATGAGAAGAGGGGCAGTCATAGCAGGACTGAGGGTGTTGTACTTAAATGCACGCAGTAAATGAAAAAAGGTAAATAAGGTAAATGAGCTTGTAGTGCAGATTGAAATTGGTTGTTCAATGTTGTGGGTATCACAGAGATATGGCTGCATGGGGAGGAGGGCTCAGAACTAAATATCCAAGCTTACAACTCCTATGAAAAGATGGGCAGAGGGGTGGCGCTGCCTTGTCAGTAAGAAATGAAATTGTGTTGACAATAAAAAGTGGCATAGATTCGAAAGGCAAAGAATCTGTGGAGGTAGAGTCAAGGAACCACAAAGGAAAAGAGATGTTGATGGAAATCGTGAATCAGCCTCCTTGCAGTTGTCAGGATGCGGGTAAAAAAACGAATCAGGAGATAGAAAAGGCATGCTAGAAAGGCACAATTGCATTAATCATGGGGGACATCAAATGCAGGTGGACTGGGAAAATCAGATTGGCAGCAGATTTCAAATAAAGGAATTTGAGGAATGTCTATGAGAATTTTTTTGGAGCAACGTGAGGTAGACCTCACTCAGGAACAGGCAATTCTGGATTTAGTGATGTGTAATGAGGGAGATTTGATTAGGGAGTTCTAGGTGAAGAAACTCTGAGGGCAGTAACCACAATTTAACAGACCCTGCAGTTTGAGAGGGAAAAGCTGGAATCAGATGCAACTGCATTACAATTGAGTAAATGAAACATCAAAGACATGAGGGAGGAGTTGGCCAGAGTTGACTGGAAGGATGGAGCCAAGCAGGGAAGACAGTGAAGCAGCAATAGCAGGAGCTTCTGGGATAATTCAAGAGACACTGCAGACACTCATCCCAACGAAGAAGAAACATAGTCAGGGGAGGATGAGGCAACCACGGCTGACAAGGAAAGTCAGGTAGAGAATAAAAGCAGAAGAGAAAGCATACAATGTGGTGAAGATTAGTGAAAGCCAGAGGATTGGGAAGCCTTTAAAAACCAGTAGAGGATAGTTTAAAAAGCAATAAGAGGCGATAACATGAAATATGAGAGTAAGCTAGCTCGTACTATAAAAGACTACTGCAGGAGTTTTTAAGATATCTAAAAGGTTACAGAGAGGCAAGAGTGGACATTGGCCTGTTGGAAAATAAGGCTGGAGAAACAGTATTAGTGAACAAAGAAATGGCAGAGGAACAAAACAGGTACTTTGTATCCGTTTTCACAGTGGAAGACACCAGCAGCATATCAGAACTTCCAGAAATGGTCAGAAGTGAGAAGGTGTTGGGGAAACTGAAAAATCTGAAGGTGGAGAAATTACCAAGACCCGATGGACTACACCCCAAAGTTCTGAAGGAGATTGCTGAGGAGATCGTAGAGGCATTGGTGGTGATTGTTCAACAATCACTAGAGTCACGGAGCATCCCAGATGACTGTGAAATGGCTAATTCAACACCCTCATTTAAGAAAGGAAGGAGGAAGAGGCAGGAAACTATAGGTCGGGTAGCCTGACCTCAGCTGTTGGTAAGGTTTTAAAGTCCATTATTAAGGATGAGACTGCAGAGTACATGGAAGTGCATGGTAAAATAGGGCAGTGTCGGCACGGTTTCATCAAGGGGAGGACATGCCTGAGACATCTGTCAGAATTCTTTGAGGAAGTAACAACCAAGTTAGACAAAGGAAAGCCAGTGGACATGATCGGTTTGGATTTCCAGAAGAGCTTTGAGAAGGTACTGCACGGCAGGCTGCTAAATAAGATAAGAACATGGTGTTAGTGGCAAGGTAGAGGATTGGCTGATTGGCTGAAGGCAGAGAATCAGGATAAAGGGGTCTTTTGCAGGATGGTAGCCAGTAACTTCATGAGATCCTCAGGGGTCAGTGTTGGGACCACAACTATTTACGTTATGCATTAATGTTGTCGACAAAAGAACTGAGGGCACTGTTGCTACATTTACAGATATCACAAAGGTAGGTGGAGGGACAGGTAACGTTGAGGCGGTAGGGAGACAGCAGGAGGATTTAAACAGGCTAGGAGACTGGACAAAGAAGTGGCAGATGGAATACAATGTGGGAAAGTGCGAGGCTATGCATTTTGGTAGGAACAATAAAGGCAGACACTATTTTTGAAATTGGGAAAGGCTTCAGAAATCTGAAGCGCAAAGTGACTTTGGAGTCCTAGTTTAGGTATTCTGTTAAGATTAACATGCAGGTTCAGCTGCCAGATGGAAGGCTAACGTCTTTTTAAGATTTATTTCAAGGCACCTGGAATAAAAGAGCAGAGATGTACTGCTGAGGCTGTAGTAGCTCTGGTGAGACTTGTTTGGAATATTGTGACCAATTTTGGGTCCTGTATCGAAGGAAGGATGTGCTAGCCTTGGAGGGAGTCCAGAGTAGTTCTACAAAAAATGATCCCAGGATGAAGAACTTGTCATAACAACAACAGTTCAGGACTCTGGGTCTGCATTCAATGGAGTTTAGAAGTATGACGGGTATATAGGAAGGATTGAAAGAGAGGTAAAACAGAAGGAGTAGTGGTGTTTTTGATGAATCAAAACATTACTGCTGTAACTGGAGAAAATATTTGTAAAAGATAATCAAGTGAAAAATATATGGGCTGAAATTAGAAGTAAGACAGGAATGATCACCTTGATGGGATTGTACTATAGCACCCCCACCCCCCCACCTCAAAGGGAAACCGAGGAACAAATATGTAGAGACATCTCAGATAGAAATAAATAAAATAAGTTTGTAATAATAGGTGATTTAAATTTTCCAAACATTGACTGGGATGACCATCTTGTTAAAGGTTTGCATGGTGAAGAATTTGTTAAATATGTTCAAGAAAATTTCTTAATCAACATGTAAATGTTCCTATTAGAGAAGGAACAAAACTTGACCTACTCTTGGGTAATAAGGCAGGGCAAGTGACTGAAGTGATAGTAGGGGAACGCTTTGGGTCTAGTGATCAAAATTCTATTAGTTTTTAAAAGAGTTATGGAAAAGGATAAGCCTTCCATGAAAATTTAAGTTTTTAACTGGAGTAAGGCACATTTTAATGTTATGAGACAAGAACTTTCAAAAGTTGATTGGAGTGGTCTGTTCACAGGTAAACAAACATCTCCTAAGTGAGAGGCTTTCAAAAGTGTGATAACAAGAGTTCAGAGCCATTATGTTCACATTAGAGTGAAAAGTAAGGCTGGTATGATTAGAGAACAACAGATGAATAAAGATATTGAGGCTCTAGTCAAGAACAAAAAGAAATCATATTACATATAGACAAGTGAGTTGAATGAATTTCTTGAAGAGTATAAAGAGTGTCACGGCTGTCGCAAGAGGAGATCAGGAAGTTAGGGAGGGAAGATGAGATAACCTGTTCTGCCAAGACTAAGGATAATCCAAAGAAATTCTGCAAGTACATATAGAGCAAGAGTGTAACTAGAGACGGGGCTGGGCACCTTAAAGATCAAGTGGGTCATCTTTGTTCTGAAACTCAGGAGATGGGAGAGATATTAAATGAATATTTCATGTCAGCTTTTACTGAGAAGAAAGTTAGCCCAAATGCACAACCTCCATGTATGAGGTGGGACAGTTCCTGTTGCCAAACTATTCGACCAAGGGCCAAAGAAATGGAGACTAGGCGATGTTTCTCATAGCTCAATTGACTTACTACTCTGTGTGGCTTCATGCTACACTTACAGTCTATATGCCACCAGGATTTGAGGGTTTGAATTATGAAATGAGATTGGATAGGCTGGGACTCTTTTCACTGGACAGTAGGTGGTTGAGGGTTGACTGTATGGAGGTTTATAAAATCATGATAGGTACAGATAAGGTGAATAGCAAAGGTCTTTACTCTTGGATAGGGGAGTCCAAAACTAGAGAGTATATTTTTAAGGTGAGAGGAGAAAGATTTAAAATGGAACCAAGCGGAAACCTTTTCAAACGGAGGGTAATTTGCATGTGGAATAAACTGCCAGTGGAAGTGGTAGATGCAGGTACACTTACAACATTTAAAAGACATTGGGACATGTACATGAATAGGAAAGGTTGAGGAGGATATGGATCAAACGTAAGCAAGTAGGACTAGTTCAGTTTGGGAAACTTGGTCAGCGTGGACAAGCTGGACCAAAGGAGGCCAAAGAACTCCGGGAAATAAACATTGGTATTTTGAAAATAGTATACATTATAGGAGAGGAAGTGCTGGAGGTCTTAGTAAATACGGAGGTGGATAAATCTCTGGTACCTAATCCAGTGTATCCCAGGACATTGTGGAAGTAAGGGAGGAAAGTGCTATGCTTCCTGCAGAAATTTTTGAGTCATCCATAACACAGGTCAGATGTTAGATGACTGGAGAGTGGCTGAGGTTATGACTTTAAGAAGGGATGTAGGGAGAAGCCGGTGAACTACCGACCCATGAGTCTGACATTGACGGTGTGTACATTTTTGGAGATGACTCTAAAAGAAAGCATTTGGACAGGCGTGATCAGGGGTAGGCAGTGTGGTTTTGTGTGAGGTAAGTTGTGTCTCTCTAATTTGATTGAGTTTTGGTGAACTAATCAAGAAGATTAATGTGGCCACAACAGTAGACATTGTTTACTTGGACTTTATAGTAAAGCCTTTGACAAGATTCACATGATAGACTAATTACTAAAGTTAGATCAGATGGGTTTCAGAACGAGCTTGCAAATTGGATTCAAAATTTGCAAAATGACAAGATACAGTGCGGTGGTGGAGTGTTGTTTTTTGGACTGGAGGCCTGTGACGAGCAGTGTTCCACAGGGATTGGTGTTGAGTCCGCTTTTGTTTGTCATTTATATAAATGATTTATATGAGAAGTTAGGAGGCATGGTTAGTAAGTTTGCAATGACACAAAAATTGGTGGTATAGGGGACATTGATGAAGATTATTTAAGATTACAAAGAGATCAATTGGCGGATAAAGTTTAATTTGAATAAATGCTAGGTATTTCATTTTGGTAAAACAAACAAGGGGGACAGGACTTATACAATTGAAAGTAGGGCTTTAGGTAGTGCTGTAGAACAGAGACACTTCAGGGTTCAGTTATCTAATATTTGCACTTACATCACATGTAGACAGGGTGGTTAAGAACGCATTTAGTATGCTTACCTTCATTGCTCAGATCTTCTGTGTGCAGGAGCTGGTACGTCATATGCGATTGTCTCGGATGTTGAGAGGCTTCTTCTGGAGTACTGCGTCCAATTCTGGTTGCTCTGTTAAAGGAAGGATATTATTTAAGCTGGAGAGGGTTCAGAAAATATTTATCAGAATGTTGCTGGGAATAGAGGGATTAAGTTATAAGGAGAGGCTGGGAGTTCTTTTACAGGAGCGTAGGAGGTTCAGGTTGACCTAATAGAGGTTTATAACATCCTGAGGGGTGTAGATAAGGTGAATGGAAGGTTATTTCTTCCTCGGGTGGGGTATTTCAAGACTAGAGGGCATACTTTTAGGTTGAGAAGAGAAAGATATTTAAAAAAATACACGAGCAGCATCTTTTTATTTTGCACAGAGTGGTTAGTGTGCAGAAATGAACTTCCAGAGGAAGTGGTGAATGCAGCTACTGTTACTATTACAATGTTTAAAAGACATTTGGATAAATACATGAATAAGATGTTTGCAGAGATATGGGTCAAGTGCAGGCAGGTGGGACTACTTTAGTTTAGGAACATGGTCAGCATGGACTGGTTGGACTGAGGGGTCTATTCCTGTGCTATCTGACTCTACGTGATTGAAACTTACAAAATACTGAGAGGCCTGGATAGTTGGACATGGAGACGATTTTTCGACAAGCAGGAGAAACTTGAACCCAAGGGTACTGCCTTGCAGTGAAGGGATGACCCTTTAGAACTGAGATGAGGAGGAATTTCTTAAGCGAGTGGGTGGTGGTCGGCATGGACCTGTTTGGGCCGCAGGGCCTGTCTCCATGTGGTAGGACTCTATGACTCAAAAACCTAAAAGGAGCACAGGCCATCCTCGACTGCGTACTGTTGAATGGCCGGACATGGGTTACCTCAATTGGCTAGCTGGCTGGTTTGCGATGCAGAGTGACGCCAACAGCATGTACTCCATGCCTTAACTGGCTGAGGTCACCATGAAGGTCCTACCATCTTAACCTTAACCGTTGCCTGAGGTATGGTGACCCTCAGGTTAAAGCACCATTCGTTCTCACTTTCTCGTAAGTGAGAGAGCAGTCCTACGGTCTTCTGGGACTATGGCAACTTTTAATGGAGACATTGGAGACGGAGGAGAAAGGAGTCGGGTAAGGTGAGAGGGAGAGCAGGAACCGGGAGCCCCGCCCACTCTCACGAACATCAACACGCTCACCGCGCCTGCGCATTATCACCGCCCGTGGAACCCAGATGCGGGCAGTGGTAATGCACAGGTGCGGTTAGCGTGTTGATGTTCATGTGAGTGGGTGGGGCCGCTGGTTCCTGATCTCCCTCTCGCCTTCCCCCACTCCTCTCTCCTCCGTCCCCAATCGGCTCCAATGTCTCCATTTGGGGCTCTGCAGTTGTGTTTGATTACTCCCGGTCGGAGGGTTTACTGCGGTAAAAGTGCAGTATGAAGCTGGATGTGATGAAAAGCAGCAACACCACCAGAATCCGACTCCTGTAAACCCCTATATACCCACAGGTGTCTTAGCAGTTGGATGCCTGACTGGATCTTTTCTGGACTGTGTTAGAACCCCGCTGATTTTTTTGTTTGAAACGTTTTTGCTTCGAGTCGGAGAGCTGAACAGTGACCTCTGTGCTGTGGGCAGCAGGTTGAGTTAAAAAGAATAAAGCTGTTGTTTGTTTGTGTGGCAAGACGTGGAAGTTAATTGCAGGCTGGTTCTTGATCAGAAACTCTGTCCACACTTTGGGTCTAGGCCTGAAATGTCAGCTTTCCTGCTCCTCTGATGCTGCTTGGACTGCTGTGTTCATCCAGCTCTACACCTTGTTATCTCTGGTGACCGTTTCGAGCGGCCCTGTTTCTGGGAAGAAGCCTGAGGGTCTCGGCGACTTATATCGCGGCACCAAAAAACCCATGTTTGGGGCTTGAAACCTAACCTGGGCAACCATGAATCCTTTTTTCCGGACAATGCGCCGAACGTTGGTCTTCCCTTTAAACTTCACTTATCGCCTCTGATGTAATAGGCAAATGTTTCTGTTCGACCATCGCTCGCACCGCGCATGCTCAGTCACACTTCACTATACGCATGCTCCAACACCCACCTACCTGATTGATAAAATTGTCTGACCAAGAACAAGAAAGGGGCGGGGTTAGCCGGGCGCTGACGCTCACGATCCTCCAACTACAGGACGAGGGCGGGGCAGGCGCTCTGACCAGGGAATGGGCGCGAACACAAACCGGCATTGCTGGAAAAGCTCAGCAGGTCTGGCAGCACTGTGAAGAAAAAAATCAGTGTTAACATTTCGGGTCCAGTTACCATTCCTTAGAACTGAATGGCCGCGGGCTTGCCCTCCAAACTCCATGGGAGGGAGTGAGTGAGGGGCGGGGCTTGTGGGAGGCTCGGTGGAGCCCGAATATTATTTCAGATTGACGTTTTATTGTCGTATGTTCTCAGGTACAGGTTACAACAGACAGTGAGAAGTGGACAGTGTCGCCACACAGTGGTATCTTAAGTACC